AGCTGACAGGGTGAGATGACCCAAGATCTCTCACAAGTCAACCCTGAAAAGTAGTGTGCTAAATTATTTGCCCCATCCTCATACAGGTCTCCAAGGAGTCTGACAGTGGAATATAAGGGCCAAACAATAGAGTAGGGAGCGTCAGAACAGGAGACACCATACTCCCCAGGGGACAAATTTCTGCAAGCCTCAGAATACCAGCAGGCCCAGACACCACAAAAACAGATGCTGAAACGTTCCTAATTCACTGAATTAGTTGTCTGGGCAAGATAATGGTGTAATTATAATGTCTCTTCTCAACGAAAATACTCATGCAGAGTGTTTACGGACAGTAACAGCCACAGAATAACAATTCAGAGACTGATGAAAAGTAAAGCACACCACAGAAGGGTCCCAAGCGACAGGCTAAACCTACACAGGATACAGGCAGAAGAGAGCACAGCACAGACACACCAGCAACTCCCTACCACACACCCATGTGCAATCCCATACGTGACAGGTATTCCAGCACTGTGGTACAAACCACACAGTCCATCTGCTCTGTCCACCACTAGATCAGCTTCTTCACAACATTTTCCTTGCATTTTTCCCAGCCCGACACTCATGCATACAACCATAACTGGGACTGCATGGCTTTTGGTTCCAGAAGTATTAAAGACTTCCCCCACACATGCACAAAAAAAAAAAAAAATCATTATTTGCAGACATTTAAGTGGAATTTCCATCAGTAACAACACTTGCTGCAGAGGGCCACAATAAGAGTGTATTTGGCTCAAAAAAAACACTCCCTTCCTACAAAAAACAAATCCAGACCTATTCGGTAAGATTTTTCCTCACATCAACAGCTTTGTTTCACTTTGTTAAATCCTGAACAGGCATCATCAAACCAGGCTGCATTTCTGCTACAGTCAACCCATCAAAGGAGCTGTGATCACTGTCTCCTATCCTTTCAGGACAGACTCTGACAGAACTTACTTCCAAAGCACCTCCTTGCACCTTCTTTATTCCAATCATTTTGAGTTGTAACAAGTCATCTAACATCATGACAGCATCTACAACCATCTTGGAGAAAAATTCCTTGCTCTGGGAGATCAGCTTAGAGCTCAGGGCTGTGGCTGCACACTTCTCCAGGAGGCTTCTCTGCTCACTGCAAGAAAGAAAGAAAAAAATAAGGTCTTGTTCACTTGCCAATTCTTTTCACAAGAACATTGTGCACGGTGTAATTAATTAGTCCACTCTGAAAGCGGCAAAGATCAGCTCCGTTCTGTCAATAGGGAAAGCAGGGCACACATGTCAAAGCCCAGACTGTCAAAGTATGATTCTCCCTTTTAGAGCCCAAGCAGACTAGCACTGACCAGGTCGGTTGGCTTTTAGACACCACAGGCCTACGCAAAACACCACAGCTCAGCATCCTCTCCTTCATCCTAAGGCAGTAAGAAGTTTCTGAAACCCTCTAAAGGTGGCACATTCTTTAAAGTATTAACTCAGGTAATATAGGTCATAACAGCGTGGATGATACAGTGGACACCAGGGAAATTGGGACCCAACTTGCACGCTCTATTACCCAAGTTACTACTGACCATAAGAACTATTTTGCATCACAGTACAGTAGAAAGGATACAACTCAATCCAGTTTATTTAAGATGGTTACACAGTTCAACCTGAACTTTTACTGCAGGTATTAGTAATGTCAGATCAAGCAGACGAAAGCTTAAAATGCAGGGAGAAAATGAACTCTAGTATTCTCAACTCAGGTAAAGGGATCATTCCCTTACTGCTATTAGCTATTTAACTTCATGTATTCAACAGCTAAAAAGTGATCTGATTTTCAGAGAAGCGCTAAGCATTTAAGACTGCCACTGATTACAGGAAAAGCTGCAAGTCTCCATCACCATTGGAAAAAAGAAATCAGGCCGCTTATTTTGGTACCTAGCTTCCTCCATGTGCACTGGAAGAAAGACACTGGCCTACATACTTCACTGCAGACCAAGTAAGAGCACGGCATCTGCCCCAGAGGAGCAGGAAACTCCGAAAGCTCAAGAATAACCCCACTGTGGGGCCTCAGCTGTTTCATGCAACCTTGAGACCTCAGCCAGAGCCACAGCATAAGTCAGAATATCCTCACACCAGCTAACTGAGCCCAGCTGCACAACCAGGTCATTTGTAAGGCAAACTTACTCTTTATCTTCCTTCTTCACTGCAACAGCGATGTCTTTGATCTTGTTTACAGCCTGTCAAAACACAAGCCAACAGCTGGATTAATGATTGATGCTCGCAAGCTGATCAGATCTCCAACTCTCCTCGTTGTATTTTAAGTTACCTTTTATTCCCTACTTCAGCATCACTGAAGTTTCAAGCATTTAAGCTATTCCACCCTTCCACCACAGTAATTCTAAGAAACACACCAACATAAGAGGATCAGGAAAAGGCTCAGAGCTGCTCCACTGCTTTCAGCAGAGATGTGGGGAATCAAAGGGCTATCGAGGGAGTTAATTGCCAGAGAAGGTTTGGGTTAATGGGACTGATGTGCTTCACGACATGTAACGTTTACCAAGGAGTAGCAGAGATCAGAAGAATGGGAAATGCATTTTCCCACTTATTCTCCCTTGGAGGAAAAACAAAGGAAGCAATAACACTCAAGAGGTACTAGCTGGTAATAACAGCTCACTGACACCAGAAAACGCAGCTGATGTTTGCAGTAAGACATCGTGAGATCACTACTGTCACCCCCAGGCCCATTCATTACTGACTTTTGCCTGGAAGCGTGTTATTTTTCCTCTCTGGGACAGAACTGCTCTCCCCAGGTGCTCTGGTGAAGCGTCAATACAATACACCCCTCGGGTCTGCAGTAGCAGCCAAGCCCTCCCTCAGCTACAAGCAGTGCTGCCTTACCAACTGTGTTGCTGTGCGAAAGGCACGGATGATGATTTGAGGATGGAGGCCTTCCTCCACATAGGGCTTCACTTGTTTCAGGAACTCAGCAGCGAGTAGAGTTACGGACGTGGTCCCATCACCAACCTGCACAGAGAGGAAACGCTCTGTGTCATCCATACGCTGCAGAGCTGCTGTGATAGCAGCTTCAAAACCATGCAAGGGCTTCCAAAGGAAATCAGGTTTCATAATTTTCTCTGCTCACAGATTTGCAGCTGGATTCTTTAGTGATTTAGAAGAGTTGGGTTCAGACTACATCCCATCTGAGGGCGAAGTCTCATTTCCCAGTTACCTATGTTCATGAAATGGGAACTTTTTATCTTTGGTATTTCTAAACTACCCATCAGTTCTGGCTGAAACAGTCTAAGAGATTTGAAAGTTATCACAAACAAAAAGGCATCAATAAAAAAAACGGAATGAATGCCAGCAGTCTGTGAGCAATTCCCACCCAGCAACACCAAGTCCACACAACCACCAACAGGAGCAAGCTTGCTGCTGCACGTTATGCTCCTGAGTGCAGGCAGGCCACCCTCCTACCTCTGCATCTTGAGATTTGGCGATGTCCACTAATGTCTTCGCAGCTGGATGGACAACATCAAGGAGCTTCAGGATGGTGGCACCATCGTTAGAGATAGTGGCTTTGCCTAGGATTGATGTAGAAAAGGAAGTCAAACTTGACTGCCACAAGTAAAGCCCTGGTCACTCTGAAAGGACACCCCAACACCCAAGGAAGCTTTTCATCAGAGAGACGTTAATACAACAGTAACTTCAGACCAGCCAGTTCACCTTTCAGGTCAAATATGGCCCCAACCCAGTATTACGCTACAGTGCTTCCCAAACAAGTCCTGGTCCTACACCATTGTGAATTTTGTCCTGTCTGAAGAACCACAGGCTCTCATCCCAAATTGCCACTTGAAAGTCATTTTTCTTCAGTCAAATTGCTTTTTTTCCTCTTATGTGATTCAAGATGTGATCACCATGATATTAATACACTCCTACAGCCAGATACACAACTATAAATTGGCTGAAAAGTGAAGGGGTCACTCCCACAGAGAGGGGGCGCCCCGAACAGCTGTTTCACAGAAGGTTGCTCAGCAGGTGCCTCCATTCCATATTAACAGCATCTTTTTAGTCCAATTTTGGAGCAGATTAAGTTAAGTTAGTCTGAGTGCAGAACAACTCTTCACAGCAATTAATAGAAGCTTCAAATTAATTTCCCTCTTACTCCTCAATAGCCTTCCCAGACAGACAAAAAGATATTCTAGTCTGAAACTCACAGGAAGAAGGAGACTAGAAATCATAGTAGTCAGTAAGTAAATTTAAATCCAATTCAATAAAAATTATTACGATTCCTATTTGCAAAACCAGAGACCTTAAACCCCACCCTTCAGTAACACCAATAAAAAGAACAACAAACACTATATTAGTTTGGTGACTTCACATAAGTCTTTTGGGGGGGGTGAGTCTCATCCCTAAATCATACACAAAAAAAAAAAAAAACAAAAAAAAACCCCACCCAACCCAGTAACATCCACTGACCTCACACTCAGCCACAACAAGTGCTGAGTAGCTCCACACATATTATGAGCCTCACTGAAAAAATAGATAAATAGAGATGGTCAGGGATACCTGAAGACCAGGTTCAAGACATACTATTTCTCCTTTCTGGTATGGACCTTCTCGTATCTCGTCCCACTAACCCTGGATCTACGTAACCTCACAAAAGACCACAGCTGCCTTAACTCAGGCTAGCAGGCAGCAAACAGGTAGTTCCTCAGGCAGGTCTGACAATTATCTTCTCATCAACAGCGGAGCCCAGAGTCAAGGTGTTAAACTGAACATTGTGACAGAAACTGAACCTCTATTGGGAGAGCCGAGATTAGTATGGGGTGAGGAATTTGAAGTCTGCATATATGGAAATGCTGGTTTTAACTGATATGAAGGTATGAGTAAATATGCACACTGCCAGCATGCACTGCACTTGGAGATTATTTCCGAGTGAACCTTCTACATGGCTGTGGAAAGCCATTGCCCAGTGCTTACCCCGGTCATCCACAATGAGCTTGTCCATGCCCCGAGGTCCCAGGGTAGTGCGCACAGCTTCTGCGATAACCTGGCAGGCATTGATGTTGCTGACAAGCTGGGGGATCCCCTGTGAGGTGTCCGTCCCCTCCTGCAGCAGGATAACTGGTGTTGGCTGAAGAGAGAACCCACAGCAGAGCCGTTACTCCAATCCCAACAGCCTGCAGACAACCTGGAGCTAACTCCTCACATAGCCCAGCAAGCAACCAACACATAGGAAGCCCAAGACCAAAACCCACAGCCTCCTTAAAATTCCTCTGCCTTCACACAATCTGCTTTCCATCTCCCACTGCTCCCAGCGTAACTGGAATTCACCCAACTATCTCCAGTATATGCTCTGGGACCATATCGTAACTGCCCCCCAAATAAGTGGGCTTCTTCCATAGAGTGCAGCTCTAGAGTGCATAGAGTGTAGCTCTATGGAAGATCCGATTTTGATGCTAGACTGAAGAAGACAGTACGTGCAGTAACTAGTGAGACAGTAGGGAACTGCACTAATGCTGCCACCGAATCACTGATTTTTTATTGTAGTGCCAGCAAGATAGTCAAGCACAACAGCCTTTTACCCATCACACATCAAGTCAGAGTCCAAGCTGCCTCAAGGATGGCAACTGCTGAAAGACGCTTTCACATAAATTGTGTTCATCTATGACATCCTTTAAGTGATTACACCTGCCTGACAGCAAACTGTGCTGGAGACAGCTTAGAGGATATCAGAAGCCACAGCAGACAAGGGCTTCTCACTGCTCTGAGAGTGCACCAGCCCTTGTCAGAAAGAAAACGTGCCTTACAGGCAAAGCTCAAACAAAGTCCATACACAGCCAAAGTTTGTGAGGCACCCAGTTTTAAACAGCCACCCGCGGGCAGAGAGCAAAATTATACTATGACTGTTGCGCTAAAGAGTGACAAGGCAGAGCTGAGGCTCTGATATGCACGGAGAAGACTGAGCTTCACAGTCAGGCCTCTCTAAGTCCTGTAAAGATCTTGGGGGAGAAAACGTACCGAGTTCTTGGACACACCCACACGGCAGAGATCTCAACGGAAAAGAAACCCTTGCATCCCCGAGAAAATCAGACACACCGCCCTTGTGCGGCAGCCCACCTGCTCCTGAGTAACACCAACGGGCCTCAGAGCTGGGGAGGGCCGGAGTCAATGGGGACCCGCAGCCGGGGGAAGAGCTGGGCGGTGTAGCTGGGGGGGACGGGACGGGGACGAGGGGACGGGACGGGGACGAGGGGACGGGACGGGGACGGACACGCAGTAAAGCGGCCGAGGTGGGGGGGACCGAGACGACGGAACGCC